GTAGTTATTCCTAAAACCACGTTTTAGAGGGAGGTAGACAAAATAATCCCAGCACCTCAAAAAATACTTGCCAACTGCTGTCGTTTTGGGAAGATTGTTGTTTCACCTACGCCCTGTAGATGGAGACATTCACACAGAAACCCACTCACATGGATCCGCATGCACACACACATACACAAACATAATATGGGAGAAGTGTGTCGTAGAACTAAGTCCCAAACAGGGGGGAGGCGTTAAGATTTAGAGGTTCAGTTCTGGAGCAGGGCACAGAGAGCCATTTCCTGTACTCTGCATCAATATGAGAGAGACCAGGCAGGCAAGGCCGACTGCACCAGAATAAAACATTCTATCGTCAAGCACCAGCCATTTATGGCCCAGCAAATGTGATTTTTCTCTTTATAGCTGAAATATTAATGTTTCTATTTTGGTATACTTAGAAAGAAAACAGCAGTTTCCAGGCCCTGAGCTGCCAAGATAGAGGGGCCACAGTGAGAGAGAGACAGGGGAATTTAATAAGTGATATCACGGCAAATAAAAAGGGGTGGGCAAAGTATGACCTTCAGTCAGCAACTACTCAAAGCATCAAAGGCAATGCAACAGACATAAAATGTTTTTTAAGATGATTTCAGAGCAGAGCAGCCTGGCTAATCGTTGGTCAGATGTTATCCCATTTATTTCACAGATTTTGTGAGGGCAGTAATAGCAGATGTCATTGCTACCAGTTTCTCATTACTTTCCATTTTCCACGTTTTTAAGTCTGGACAGTATAGCTGCTGTTACTCTGATAGTTTTCAGAGCTCTGAGCTGTTGTTGGCATCAGATTCTCTAATTCTACACTGCTGTCTTTGTCGGCTGCTTTACCGAAAAGCTGCTGTGATTTATTTAATAATACCACATACTACTTGGAGAGGAATGCAGGTTATAACACAATGAGGATAGACTAACTGCATAGATCCTAAATGACTACGGCATACATTTGTGTTTATACTTTAGAACTCTTTATGTCAGGAACATACTGTAGGACTAGTACTATGTGTTACTGTATATACTGTATTGTAAAGTAAGGGCTTTTTAAGTTCCCTCATTGTTCCCTTCTTATTCCTTAACTCCCCTTCCCTTGTGCCTACATGTCTGTATTCGTACTGAACTGGTACAAACAATTACATTCAAGAGACTTATGCTTTACGTTGCCTGCCATAACCTAAAGTGTTACTGATTTATTTTACAGTGTTGACTTTTTTATTATTTCACTTGTTGTTAAAGTACAACAGAGGCTTAAAATGAATACCTTGTTTTATTTATTTTCTTTTTCCACATTAAAAGCCAAAAATGTATTGAAATGGCCTTTATAGCATTTACCAGGATTTCAAAACATTCTCAAAACAAAATCAATGCTGTCATCTCTTTGATTGCCTCCCTTCACACAAGTATAATCCTAAATAAAGCAGTCCGTAATTTATTCCAGTCTCCAAACACTGGCCTCAGGGAGATGTAACTCTTCTGAAAAAACACTTTTAGAAAGCCAAAGTTAGATTTGTGCTTCTAGCCCCTTTTAAGTCAACTTTATGAAAAGTGAATGTGAAACCTTGGCAGTAAACAACTTATGAAGTTGGCTGATGTTTTGAGTAGGATCTAAATAAGAGTTTATTGAAGGTCTGCAGAGAGGCAAAGTGGGGAGACATGTAAGCAGCTGCCAGGACAGCTTTGTTGATTGGGATTGATTCCCGGGAGAAACTGGCCAGTGTAAGCAACCTGATGGGTTTCAGACAGACGCATCAGCAGTTTGTTTGCCCTGCTAAAACTCATCCTGCGTAGGGCACGCTCTCACCAGCGAGAGCCTCGCCAAAACCCCGGTCCTTCTGCGACTTGTCTTCTCAAAGACGCCCCTCCGATGCTTCGGGGCCCCTGAGCAGAGCGCCGCAGGCTTCAAAAAGCTGCTGCGACAATGTCTAACAGCGGGATGAGAGGCTAGTACACCACTGTCCCCTCTAAAAAGTTATTCCCCACTGTTTGTCAATATGCCATTTGTCGATATGGGCGCCATGGCATCAAACATAATGAGCCTGAAGCTCTGTGTGGAGCCGGACATGTTTTTGACTTTACACTGTTGTTGGCAAAGGAGAGACGGGCAGTTCTTTCATTGCTGCTGGTTGTTTCTCAGACATTGTGTTTGCAAAACTTCTGAAGTCGCGCACTGCAGATACTGAGCATGACTGAGTGCATGCTCTCACTGAGTGACACTGCGTTAAGAGACTGCTCTGTCTGATTGGTTGGTAGACTCGAGCGGTGGATTCTTGCAAATGGCATTAGGAGCAGTAGGAGAAGCCAGAGAAACCTGATTTTTTTTCACTCTTTCACTCTCTAGTTTGCTCATTCACTATTCAGCATTTAAACTCAATAATTTTGTCAGTATGAGCAGTAATTTGAGATTGGTTATGAACACTTCCTAAACATTATTTAGCATCAATAGTTCTACATCTTGGGAAATGTATTGGCCTTCATGAGGAGAGTTTGATTAGATGAGTGATATCAATCTCATGTCTGTCCGTTAAGTATGGAGCTGGAACCAAGGAGATGATTAGCATAGCTTAGCATAAAAACTGAAACAACCGCCCTGTCCAAAGTTAAAAAAAAAAACATGCCTACCAAACCTTATAAAGCTCATAAATTCACATTTTGTATCTATCTCTTTCTTACATCTGTATTTCATTTTAACAGAGAAAGGTTAGCTTTGTCCCTGTGCTCCCAGTGTTTCTGCTAAGCTAAGTTACTATAATTGCCTCCTGGCTCTAGAGAAGTTTATTTCTCACAATTTCAGTAAAGAAAAAAGTCACACCTGCTTCTCCAGTATGGGACCTCTCACTTCTTGTGAAAATTAATTTTCTTCTCTTCTCATCTCCATCCTCCAAATCAGTGTGCTGCTCCGGCAGCTCCTTGTGGCCTGCCAGCTGACTGATTGCTTCACACAAAAAACGTGCAGCCAAATAACAACAGTGAAGCCCAAATTAAGTTGATACACCTTGATAAGACCTCTATTCAGTCATTATGAAATGGGCCTGAATGAACCTTACGTCAACCACATGCAGAAATGTGGATGAGAACAGTTTTACAGACGCACACAAACACACATACACACACTTTTTAAATGAATCTCATGCACCGAGCTGTGGAATTGTGTTGGAAGGTAGATTATTCACGGGGAATCGACTACAATTTCACGGCTTTCTGGAAATAATTAGCGTGACATTTATTCAGGCTTTATAATTGGTTAAGACTCTAGACCCTCACCTCTAATAAAGTTGTCATTGAACCTTTAATACTGCTGGCTTCCATGACAGCAGGGGATATTGCAGCCTGGTGCAGGGCGGTCAAATCATTTGGAAGAGGATAATGCAGTCAGGTTTATGGTGCGTGTGTGTGTGTGTGTGTGTGTGTGTGTGTGTGTGTGTGTGTGTGTGTGTGTAGTGAGTAGTTAGGTAAAATGCGATTCATTCTCCGTCCAAGCCCTAATGAAACCTGCCCATCGTGAGATGATGAGATGAATTTTTCAAAGATTTTTAAACATCCGTTGACATACAGGACTTTTACTTCATCATTAGAACCACTTATCCTGTCCTCTTCCTCAACACTTCTCTCCACCTTTCCACTTTTTTCATTCTCCTTCATCAGTTTAGTTCAATTTTGTGGCCTGCTTCCTCGTCTTCACTGCTTTCCGCTCCTCTCCTTGCTTTCTTTATCGTCATTTTCCTTCCTAATTTCACGTCGTCTTCTGTGTCATTTGTTTATTCTACCCCACTCTTCTCTCGTATTTACTTCCTTCCTTCCTCCATTTCTTGCCTGTGGCTGTGAAATGGTTTGCAGTCTTCGTCTCTAGAGTTTTCACATCTCTCTTTGTCCATTAGGAAATAGACCACAGTGTGATTTTGTTGCACTAAAACACAAACTCTGTTTCCTGGGCACTCTTTTTCTGACCACACTGCACTCACGGATCTCCCTAAATACTGTTACTGCTTTCACCAAAGCTTCCGGTGTGGATTTTATGTCAGTATGTACCCTCACTCCTATCCCAGCCAGTTGACACTTTGCTTATAGAAGAACCAGGACAGAAACTGTCAAATCCTCAGATTAACACATCAAGTGATAGGAAATATGAAATGACGTAATAAGTGAAAGAAATCAGGAGCCAACTCACAACCTCTGTTCTCTCAAATCTACTATCTGCTTTTAAATGACAAAAAAACAATATGTCCCAGTTCACATTGCGGATATCTGCAACTGAATTTTGACTTGTTGTAATTCCAGTTTCAGATATCTTTAATTCCCCTCAGTTCAAGATATCTCCATTGTCCTTTTGAGATATCTTAAATTAAGTTTAACTGGTCAGAATGCCATAGAGATTTATTACATTTTTTTTAAATTTTGCATTGTAGATATATTTTACCAAATTATAGATATCTGGAAATTATTTTTGATTATTGATATCTCAAATCGGGAGATAACTTTCATTCTGCTTAGTCAAATGTAATTACATGTTTTGAGTATGTTGCAGACATCAGTAGTTATGTTTTTTTTTTTTTTTTGTCTGATGCTGATGATGGAAGTAGCTAACAAGTGCCTTTTTCTCATCTTTGCTAAGAGTTGCAAATATCTACACAGTGAACAAAGCTATCGTTCGCCACAAATTGATAAGCTCTTTCTTATTTCATCTTATTTTCAGAATATTCACAACAGCAACACCCATTGCTTCTGCTAAGGTTCCAGTGCTTTGCTTGGCCAAATTTTCAGTATTGACAAAGATTGAAAAATGCTTTTGTATCTCCAGCTGTCACAATGCTCAGTTCACTATTTGTTTTAGAACAAAAAACTAAATGTTTCTTTGCTATTACTGTCTTGTGTTGCTTATTGTAGAGTTTAATTACCTGCCAACACCTTTATGTTTATGTACTTTCATGTCTATTGCCTGTGTTGATACAAAATGATTATGTTTGTGTGTGTCTCAGGTGGCGGTCACATTTGCAGTGGGGTCAGAGGTCGGCCTTCAAAGCAGCAGTGATTTCAGTCAGATGGGGAAACCTTTCCTAATGGGCACAGTGGCTCTGGGTGAGAATCAGCTTTGTACACTATAGCTCACTGTTTTTTGTGTCTCATTATTTTCATATTTCTGGCCCTCTGAATGCCACTACATGCTCCCTCTTCTACCATTCTATATTTTTCCAGGCCAAGAGTTCTGTAAGCCCATGTGTTCCAGCTAGATTTCCAACTAGATTTGGAAAACTAACTTGTAGCAGGTTCTCAGCAAAGTGGCCAAAACTTACTGCTCCATTAGAAAATATGAAGACACAGTACCACGTTCACTCAAGGTCAATGATCGACTTTGTCGTATCATCAGATCTGCAGCCGTATGTCGTGGACATTAGGGTGAAGCCATCTGATCCAACTCACCACCAGGGGACCTGCTTAATCCAAACGTGTAATGAGTGTGATCTGGGAACATCTGGCTGAAGCCAATGTCTACCAGAACTCCCACCTACAGAAGAATTTCTGATGCATCCTGTGGGATGTTGGGGGCATGGAATCCGACTGGGCCATGTTGAACAACTCCATTGAAACTGGAGGTAACTCCTCAGATGGGACAGAAGGTATTTTGTGCCTGTTGTGAGAACCCATGTTTGGAGGTTTTATCCAACTTGTAGGACATACCGGGGTAGACCCAGAATATCCTGGATAATATATCTAATCTGGCTTGGGAACACCTCAGGATCCCCTGGAGGAGCTGGACAACGCTGCTGGGGAGAGGAATGGTTGGAAAACCTTGCGTAACCATCAAGACCTAGCCCGGAATAAGTGGCAGAAAATGGATGGATGGATGAAGCATTAGCAAGTACTTTGGCTTCCTGAAGTCACTGCAGCACATCAGCTCTGGCAGCATAAGGGGATATCGCTCTGTGTCATTAGCGTTTCTGTGACAGCTCTGATTGTACTTCCTACCAGCTTCCATTACTTCAGAAGGCCACTTGAACATGCAAACTGCCTGCTATGACAACTGCTTTCCGGTTTAGAATTGCTAGTTGTGTGAAACAGTATACAGAACAACTTTAAATCATTTTCTTGCTCCTGCTCAGGATTTTAAAGCCTCTCGAACAACATTCTAGCTATGATGGGACTTTATTCACTGCAACCCAGATAAATACAATGCCTTTAGGTTGGTTTGCAGCTCTTTAATGATGAGTAAAAAGCCAGAAAGCAACACATTGAATCTTTGAATATTTCACTTGGTCCAATTGGAACAATATTACTTCCTATAATTTGTGTTATTTACATTGATAACAATAAATGAACAACCTTTATTACCATTATATTTTCTCTATTTTCTCACAGCTTAGATGATTGATGCTGGTTTGACCATTGGTTGTTGTAGTTAATTAAGTAGTTTGAATAGTATTAAGGTAAGAGATTCATAATACAATTAGTTTATTCTCTAGCTGAATTCACACACACTCAGTGATGAAACAGTGGTGTGAACATACAGAGTGAAATAAAGATGTGGGACATTACAAGAAGCCCACAGATAGTCTGTGAGACTGACCTGCTTTTTTGTTTTCATGTCAACAGGAGGGATTGTAAACGTGATGCCTCTGCTCTTCTCACAGATCTCACACAACAAAACACAGGTGAACCTAGTGCTCTATTCACTGCACTCCCTGCTGATCTGTAGACTTAATGTTCTGAATTCAGACATGTCTTATGAACAGGTTTGTATAGCAATGGTGTTACCAAGGTTGAAAGTTTTTTGTCGCACAGGCCTGAAAATTGTAGCACAAGTATAAAACATCTGTTACTATCTCGAAAGACATTTAAACAAAAACACATATATTAAAGTAAAATAGAGACGCAGTTTTTGCTCAGCATGTAGCACATACAGCGCTAAGTTGCTATGGAACACAGTGGTAGTTGCAGAGAGATTTGCTGAAGTTAGCATGCTATAGTATAGCTCTGCTATTGTTATTCTTCTAATCTAGAACAGTGAGAAAGAGAGTATGTAATGTGGCGATCTGTGAAAGGTAGGGGTGCGACTAGATCTTTTTCTCGACATGTCAGAGAACACAGATATGTAGGAGGGATTCTGAATGTGCAGAAAGTTTGAACGTGAGCAGAACACCTGCCTCAATTTATCATTGAGGTCAAAAGGTGCCACATGCACATTTAAAGAGGTTACTTCCCCAAACAAAGACACAAAGAGGAGGGAAGACTAAATCACGATACATTTCATGAGAAAAGTTGATCTACAGGAGAAACAGATCTGAAAGCAGCACAGAATGACTGAGAGCTGCACTGCATTATTTTCTGGTAGAGTTAGGCTATTATAGTTTAAATTGTCACCTGCCACTTGAATTTGGTGTTTCTATTGACATAAATAAAAACATTTTCACCATAAACTGGTGCAGAAAAATCATCAGAATGTAGGAAATAAAATGTTTAATGCTCAAATTTTTCATATAATTCAGCATTAAAGATTTCTTAAAAATAGTGCTAAAATCTGGTCTCGTCTTGTGGGTTAATAGTGGTTGACCAACATCAGTTCATCAACGGAGGATATTTAGAGAGCAGGGTGGCCGATGGCAATATCAAAAAAAGAAAAGTTGTGAATAATTCCATTATTTCATGCAGAGTACAGTCTAATACACATGGTTATCTTAGCCAGTAACGTGTTGTTTTAGATGTAATTTTATTAATTAATGAAATAGAAAAACACATTGGGATATGCTGTAGATTTTAGAACGTGACTGGTGTTTAAGGGAATGTGGCGTAAAATTTGTCAAAACAGTCGTCATTCAGCTGCATTATTCTCTACAGTATAAAATTATACATTCAACTCTAGCCAGTAATGGTTTTAGATTAGATCTGCTGCCATTTAGGATTGAAAAAACGTGTTAACATTTAGAAAAGACGATGAGGGGTTCAAAACTAACTTTTTCACCACCTTCCTAAAACTCACAAAGAGGAGCGCTAACATTGTTCCACAGCAGCCACACTGACGAGGGTTGCCTGCAGACGTTTGTTGGATATCAATTATCTCACATTGCCAGATATAACCCTATCACCATAATACAGATCTTAGGTAATGGACACTGATATGGTGCCTTGAATTCAGTGCTTGCTATCAAATTTAAGTACCACGTGCTTTTTAATACCCCAGTTAGTCAGCAAACTAAATCTCATAGTTTGTCTCACCTCTCCTGCCAGGCGACTAACCCTGCCTGCTAGATGGGTCAGTCTTTATTGGTCAGGTCAGAAGTGGTGCTGTTTAGGGCATAGCTCTTTCCTAGGCACGTGGTTTAGTTATAATTTGGACAGGCTCTATCTGCTGCTGTTATTGAAATATAGGTTTAGTACATCAAGATACTGTAAAGAGTTGGTAGCACTTATTGGTGCCACTAAACCATTGCAAAAGATAAGTAAGCAATATGATGATTTTAAAAAATTAATCGGCAATCAAACCTCTAACAATGGAAAACCTTGTGGAAACCATGATGAAAATGTGGCCTTTTCTTTATTGTTGTTAAATTATTAAAATGTTTTAATGTATTCATTTGAGGAAGGTTAGTCTCCTCATCCCTGTACACAGATCTGATCATCATCTCTTCAGTGGAGGGAAGCTTGAACGACAATTAACTCAGAAGCTTCATGAACGCCGTGATTTAGTCTGTTTCCATTGCACCGTGTCGAATTTATTTGATATCGATTCATTTGATACACCTAAGCCAATGGTAAACGGTTTTCTCCACATCAGAGTGTTTTATGCGCAAGTTCAAAATGCACTCAAAGACAGGTGGATGGAAACGCACTTGCTGCTTCAAAGCAAACGAGTACCCTGTATTCCTCACTGTTAGTGACTGCAAGCCTGCCTTTTTGCTGCCGCAATATCTCAATGTCTCTGTCAGAATAGCATACTGTCCTTCATATAGATAACCACCTATATCTGACTTGGCTAAAACACTTCAAAATGTATCATCAGCCCTGGCATGATTTGTATGTTTTGAGGTCATTGTCTCCACAGTGTCTTTGAAGATGGATCTTTTGCATAAAACATACAAAGACAAGGTCAGACCCACCATGGGTAGTGACAGTGGGTGGTGATGGCTCAGTGGATAAGACACATGCCATTGGTGTGGGAGACTCGACTTTGATTCCCACTGCGACACATCCTCCTGTTGTGTCCCTGAGCAAGACACTTAACCTCTAGCTGCTCCAGAGACGTGAGATTTTGACATGAATAGCAATTGTAAGTCGCTTTGGATAAAAGCGTCAGCTAAATGAATAAATATAAATGTAGTGGCTGAAAGCAAGTATGTCATTATTGCTGACGTGCTTTAAAGAGTTCTCTTCAGAATTATTCAGGTGTGTAAGTGCACAGATGACTGGATGTGAATGGATTGCATTTTTTTTAACTTCTGATTCAATATTATTGTTTATTGACTTTTACTGTATTGCAATGATATCCTCATACCGTGTTACAAAACTGCGCTAGAGCAGGATGTTGTGTCACCATGTACTGTATTTTCTTTATGTCCAGATCCTGTGGTTTCGGAGAGCAGTGCTTGGAGGTCTGACAACCTGTACTGTGCTCAACATCCTCTGGTAAGCACATTTATCTCCTACTATGCTGTTTTTTTAACTTCTTTATTTTAAAGAAACCTCCTGATAAGAAATGCTTATTAACTTATAGACCTATTCAGGTATAATTATGCTTTAAAGTCATACTTTTCAGCCACATACTGTCAAAATGAAAAAAACATATCACAGTATAACAAAGATAATTTAGGCCAAAACTTGAAAGAATACATTCTTTTACATAAAATAAAATTGACCAGTTTTCAGAATCTACCCCTGTACTATGGCAGAGACTTTTTTCTCCCCAGGAGAGCATCTGATTTATTATATCCCAGGGGAGAACACCTCAGGACACTTTGCTATTTCTGTGAATGCCACAACCTCTCCACAGAGGGTAAGGTAATTATGGAGGCAGGGAATTCAGGGGGAGGGGGCTTTGTTTTAAGCACAGTAATCATTAGATTTAAGCTACTGTCTGTTTCAGCCATCATAAGGTCTTGGTTGTATAATGTGTTGAAATCCTTGCAAGGAAAATAATTGTTGTAGTTTTGGGAACAGCAATATTTAGTTTTTATTGAGATACGGTTTTAGTGGATGATTCTGTAAGTGGTACGGCTCTTGTTCACACTGTGCAATGCAAAAACAATAGAGTTGTGCGTGGAAAATGTCCATATGAGTTTAAAGTGGCAGGATGCTTTGTGGATAGCAAATGTGAAACTGTTTGGTAGGCATGAAGGCTGAAGGCTGTTATGCCTGGAAAGTGTGAGAGGGTTCAAAAAGTCCCATTTAAGCCAGATGTAGATTCAGAAAATTCAGCTTTTATAGACTGATAAGTGATATATCATGACTAACATAAAGCTCTGTGGTCAGAGGATCACATGTGACCACCTGACCGTCTGGGAGACGGCGACGGTCAACATTGGCTGAAGAGGCAGGAGCCTCTGAGACCTTCAGCAGACCTTTTTTCCAGCTGAAGAGTCTAAGACATTTAATCTGCTATCTCTTGCCCTTACATTTAAAGAAGCATTCAGACCCCAAGCCTTTCACTAAATAATGTTAGAATTTTGTTAACAGTTATATAACTTCATAACATATATATATATCATCATATAACATCTGCTGTTGCTCTGGAGAAGCTTTGCCAAGCTTGAGAGAATTAATCATGTGACATCACCCAGGAATCTTGGCTTGGAAACTTAACGGAGAGCCTGCATTACTCACTTTGGGTTTGGAGTAAAAAAGAATTCCCCATTTACCAGGCAGATAAGGTATATAGAAAATATGCTGTCTAGTTGCATTATGGGAAGTGTAGGTTACATGTTACATAGTTTTTTTTAAGTTTGACTCCACCTAGGCACTACTATAAAAGTCAGGATATTGCAGCCTCTGTTAATTTGCTTGATTATGACTATTCTTTTTAAAATCTGTCTCTTGCATGGTTCCCAGCTTTATGGTAGGTGGATTTATTGTGTTGCAGTATAACAGGTTATAGAGTGAAATTGAGTTTGTAACTCCCTTCTGCTTCGTAGCAGACAATATACGTTAATATAGAATCAATTATATAATGATAAACAGAAATAAAGTATATTCAATGGAGCAGTGCTGAGGATGAATTTGAGTTTAAGAGTCTGATAGCTTGGGGGGGCCACTTTGTGATGTTTCTAGTCTCTAGTGCATGGTTCCCATCTTTATAGTAGGTAGATTACAAGAGCTTGGCGTGTGAATTTGGCCTTCTTAAGCTTCCTCAAGTAATACAGTTGTTTCTGAGCTTTCTTCACCAGCCTGGAGATGTGAGATGACCATGTCAGGTTCTCTGTGATGCTGATTCCCAGGAACCTGAAACTGTTCACCTGCTTCACCTCAGCTCCACTGATGTAGACAAGGGTGTGTGTATTTCCTTTTTCCTGAAATCAACAATCTGCTCCTTAGTTTTGCTGACTTTGAGCAGTAGGTTGTTCACTGAGCACCACTCTATCAGTTATGAATTGTTTGTGAGGAAGTCTAATATCCAATTGCAAAGTGTTGCATTTAAACCCAGAGTGCTGAGTTTGCTGATCAGTTTCATGGGGAGATTGTGCTGAATGCTGAGCTGAAATCCACAAACAGCATTCTGATGTGTAGGTGTCGTTTTTCTCAAGTTGTGTGAGTGCTGAGTGGAGGGCAGTGGAGATGGCGTCCTCTGTGGACCTGTTGGTTCTGAAACAAACTGGTGAGGGTCCAGGCCGGCTGCGATGTTGTTGTTGTTATGTGCTGAAGAACCAGTTTCTCAAAGTACCTCATCAGAATGGGCTTGAGAGCCACAGGGTGGTGGTCGGTAGACTAGAAACTGCAGACTTTTTAGTTACAGGAACGATAGTTGCGTTCTTGAAGCAGGTGGAAGTAAATATGGAAAACTAAATCATTGGATTATTCCTATGGAACCCTTTGCCAAAACAAGGTACAAGGTTGTTTATTTGTCATTATACAACTTAAGGTTGTATAACAAAAAGAAAGCTTATAGTCCCCTCATACTACACACAGAACTTAACATTAAAATATGGTTACATTTAAAATAAATAAAATAAAACAATACATACAGTTACAGGGCTTGACAATAACGGTGGCCTGATAGCCCGGGGCCAGTAAAAAGTCAGCTGGAACTCACTGGCCCGATCATCGAACATCCTGCAGTTGTTTTTGAGCATGGGTATTGCACAGGTGTGCCTTAGGCTGGCCACAATAAAAGGCCACTCGAAATTCCATCACACAGCACAATGCCACAGATGTTGCAAGTTTTGAGGGAGCATGCAATTGGCATGCTGACTGGAATGTCCACCAGAGGTGTGTCCCGTGAATAGAATGTTCATTTCTCTACCATAAGCCATCTCCAAAGGTGTTTCAGAGAATTTGGCAGCACATCCAACCGGTCTCACAACCGCAGACCACAGCCCAGGACCTCCACATCCAGCATCCGCACCTCCAAGATCGTCTGAGACCAGCCACCCGGACAGCTGCTGCAACAATTGGTTTGCATAACCAAAGAATTTCTGCACAAACTGTCAGGAACCGTCTCAGGGAAGCTCGTCTGCATGCTTGTCGTCCTCATCGGGGTCTCAACCTGACTGCACAGCCATTGAAGAGGAGTGGACCAACATTCCACAGGCCACAGTCAACAACCTGATCAACTCTGTGCGAAGGAGATGTGTTACACTGCGTGAGGCAAATGGTGGGACCCCCCCCAATACAGTGAAAATGCACAATTTCGAATGGCCTTTTATTGTGGCCAGCCTAAGGCACACCTGTGCAATATTCATGCTGTCTGACCAGCATCTTGATATGCCACACCTGTGAGGTGGATAGATTATCTCAGGAAAGGAGAAGTGCTGAATGTCACAGGTTTTGACAGATTTGTGAACAATATTTGAGAGAAATAGGCCTTTTGTGTAAATAGAGAAAGTCTTGATGAATGGGGGCAAAAACAAAAGTGTTGCGTTCATAATTTTGTTCAGTGTAAGTACTCTTCTGATTTGGTTCCTCAGGCTCATGTCTGTCCTCTGCCCTGTGTTACATTGCTTGATCATATGATCACATTTTTAAAAACATTCTCTACCACCACTATATTGATAACACGTATTGATACTTTTAAGTGCATATCCTATATATTAGCCCCAGCCTACGCAACATTGACTCAACACGTCCAATCTACGGAGATCCCACGACACAAACAGCTTCCATGTGGACCAACATTTTAATCCAAATGCCACAGGTGTATATGATGCAAATCCATTAAATCCATTACTTCTGTCTTCAGATATTTGTACCCTCCGAAATCATGCTGTGCACCTTCTCAGATTTCTAAATATAAATTTAGAGATGGTTAAAATGTTATAACGTAAAATAAACAGGCAAGAACAAATTTAAACACAGGAAAATGCTCTGTTGCACTGCTGCGTGATAGTCCTTGCACACCCATGACAAATTTCACTGAGCTATACCCAACAATTGCTGTATCTGACCTTTGGTGTACTTTACTGATCAGCTTCTGGCAAAACAACTTACAGCAGCTCCACACAATAAGTCTCTCTCCTCTGGGATACCTCTCTGAGATTTATGAGCTTCAGGCTGCACTTTTTTGTTTTGTGTGTCCAACCTACACACCAGATTCTGAAAGCAGTGTTCCATGTGAAAGCAATGTTCTATAATGGCAGGTTTTTTTTCACAAGGGAGCTCCAGTTATCGATTCATGATAACATTCAGAGTAATTTCAATGTGCTGTAAACAGGCTGCATTTTCTCTCATATTCTCTCTTACAAAAACCCAAACTGACCTTTCACTTGTAGTTCAGTAAATGCATGGTTAGATGAGCCTGCAGCTAAGTGTTCTATTTAGCTGCACTACCTGACAAAGTAGTCCTTCCTTTACCAAGCTTCCAGCACCAACTATATCATAAAAACATGAAAATGAATGGCACCACTGTCTGGTGAGGCTGGTGGGAGTCTATGAGTGACCTTAGTCTGGATGACTGTCCCTGAATACCTCCACGATAGAGAATAAAACTGATCTTATGTGTAGTGGAGCTGTGCACTGTAACAATTTCTAGGGCTGTTGCCACAACAATGGAAAGAGTCACAACTCTAGTTCAGAAAGGTGTTAGGGGGAGCTCCTTTCTCTGTACGTCTTTGTCGGACGCCTCTGAGACATTTAATGAGCTGAAAGAATGAGCAAAGCTGCAGCTTCCGCTGGCCACAAACCTACCTGTTAGTAACCCATCCCTGACCAGCTGTTGCGGTCCAATCTGCCGACTCTTGCAACAAGAGACTCCCATTACTACTGTACCTTATGGTTCATTTGTCTTATGTACCGACCCATTCAAATGATCCATGCCTGCCCTGGCTGTGTGTAACAGCTGTGAATATGTTTTATAATTTTGTTTCTATGAACATCCATTACCCTGCCTCTTCATAAGGCACTAAACTTCAGTGGATGCAGTAAGTAATGTACACCCCCTTTTATGGGGCTTATATTTACAGACTTGTATTGGGTTGGTT